ATCCGGCAACTGATCATGACAGAATGCTAGAACCTTAGTTTAATCATCCGTTTATTTCTTTTATTTCTTTAGTAGTTTTCATATAACGATGCATCAAGATAATAATCCTAATCCCAACGAACAACAGTCGTCTCAACATCATACGTCTACATCATCACAATATCGCCATTCGTCATCAACACTACCGTCTTCTATATCATCAAATTCCTATTCGTCTAATTCAAATCGTTCTACGCAACATCAATCACGTAGTTATAATCCGTCAAATATGGAAGTAAGTCGATCTCTGTCGAACCGTTCAACCTTGATGTTGGCGCAAGCTGGCAACAGTTCGACTGAACGGCAAGACGGGAATCGGCGATACGACCATCATACACAACATTCAACATCAACACATCATATGCACCCTAAACTTCATCCACAACAACATTTGTATAGCAGATCGGAAGTAGATTGTCCGATAGCGGAAGGAAGTAAACGTACACGATGGCTTAAAGCTGGCGAGAAAGCGCGTGAAAACCAACAACTAGTCAATAACATCGCTCCTTTCAATTGGCCCTCCTCACATTACGGGCAAATAATCTATATCGATAAAGCAACATCAAATGACGTTTTAGAAAATCTACTCAATAGAATTAAGGATGTTCAAGTATTTACTATTGATACTGAATCAGAGAACCGTAAATCCACATCTTCAGCAACCAAACAACAACAAATACCTGCTATCATTCAAATTCAGGCCATACATAATGAACAATTAGCCACCGTTTTCATTATAGAAGCTCAACATCTGCCATCTCCATCTTCTCAATGCTTTGAATCGATAAAAACTTTATGTCATCGAATATTTTCAGTAAATTCCATCATACTAGCATGGGGTGACCCAGTTAAAGAATTAGCTCCCTTTTTCTTCACAAACTTATTTAATATAAATGATGTTAATGACCCAAGCAACAAATGCGACCTTCAAAAATTATTCACGCGTTTTTGGAACGCCCGTCATCCTCATACTTCAGAATGTCTTCGTCATCTAAATACTCTTAAAAAACCTGATTTGCACGGTCTTGAATTGATCTGTCATGCACTAACGGACGACCTTGAAGATGACGACATTACTTATAATATTAATGAAGATATTAATGATAATAGAAACGGCTGTATTTGTCCAGATAGCGATAGACCATACAAACAAAACAAAACATTGTGGTCCTTACAAAAAGCAATACACGCAGCATTCAATATGGCATTAAGTAAAGAATTACGACTGAATAACTGGACATGTGGTTTAGATCCCGAATTAAGAACATGGAGCACACCACAAGATATTTATACAAGAAAAAGGATGGCAGATTATGCTATTCATGACGTTTTCGGACCGACACATATTTTCTTTTATTTATCAACTAAGATGTCTCTCTGTTCTGTTTCAGGTTTACAATCGTTAAAATTACCAGATTCATCACCATTTCCTAGTAGTAGCCCTGACAATGATAACAATAATAATACTGATATGCTTGATCGACAACAAAAACAAAAACCTTCCTTTTTTATTTTATCAGATAGTCATGGAAAATTTATTCAACCTTCATCTACACCGAATTATACAACATACATTACGTCGATACCAGGACTCAGATGGTATGATAATAAACATATTGAGTTATCGGCTATTGATTTAATAAAAAAGCCGGAAATCACATCCTTTTTATCTTCATGTTCTGTACTCGTTCTCCTTATTGGTACAAATTCAACACGTTCAACAGCAGCAACACAAATCATTCAACAAGTTCAACATCTAATCGAAAATGTTCGTCATGATTATAAACATCTCAATGATTATCAAAATTTAGCAGTAGTTTTAACTTA